CATGCATACATACATATAAATAAAATGAAATAAACAGAACCTGCACCCTCAGGGCTGCCCAGGCCAGATCCACTGCCTGTAGAGAATGCACTTCCTTCCTCTCCACGCATTTGAATAGTGTGGGGAAATGTTCTCCATATGTGCACTTTTTTTTGCCAATGGGTATGGGCTCAGGTACAACCAGGTCCCCTCCTCAGAGAGGAAGCATCAGTATGTGTGCAGAATGCTTGTTCATGCCATCCACATGTTTGGATGGTGGGGAAAGCATGCTGCTATGGAAGTTGGCCACAATGTCCTTCAAATATTCTTTGGCTGTGTGAACCCTCCGTCACCCAAATGGATTTTTCGCAACTTAGAATCTGGCTGTCCTCCTAAAGCAGCCTGTTTTTCCCCACAAGAGGATCTTTTCCTGCCAGAGAGGGAAAAGTAGATGTGGAAAGAACTATATAGTCAGTCCCCAGATTCTTCGGTTAGAGGATCCCCTGGACCAACAGAAAGATGAGCAAGTTGGTGCCTGATCAAATCAAGCCGGAACTTGCCCTGGAAGCAAAAATGGTAAGACTGAGGCTCTTGTGCTTTGGGTGCATCATGAGAAGGCAAGACTCACTGGGGAAAGTTGAAGAAGAAGAAGGGGAAGACCAGCTGTAAGATGATCGAGCCCGTCAAGGAAGCCACAAGACCTGAGCAGGGCTGTCAAGAAGAGGACATATTGGATGGCACTTATTCATAGGGGTGCCATAAGTTGGAGATGACTTGATGGCACATAACAACAAGAAATGCAGGCCATGTCTTAAGCTTGAGGAATGAGATCAAAAGAGTTGGCAATGGCTGCTGTTTCTTGGACAGGAACAGATTCTTCAGCTTTCTTTCATATTTTTTTTAACTTAACGTTGTAAGCTGCCCCGAGGCTTCAGCGAATGGGGCGGCATACAAATGTTTTAATAATAAATAAATAAATAAATACGACCATTTTAGTGTATTATGTAACCAAATGGCTTTTCTCCATCATACTCACACCCTATAGAGAGTTTCTGTGCACTGCTCACAACTGCTTGGCCCCTGAAGATCAACTCTGTGGGGCCAATTTCTAGGGTCTGGAGCCTTCTGGACTCTAAGTGAGGGACTGATGATTTGAATAGTCCTCCAGATAAAAACAATTTTCTGCAAATAGAAAAGGGATACTAGTTTGGAACTCTATTCTTGACATGCTAAGATGAATGTGAAGGGGTGTGTCTGTGTGTTTTTAATAGTACTGAAAGAGTCTTCATGTTATGTCCCATCTGTGGTCTGAAACAGTGCCAATGTACATACTGTATATGACATGGTTTATCCACAAGTCTAGATCAGAATCCTGTGATTTATGGAGAGCCATTTTGGGCTGTGTGTGAAGGAGATCCCCTGTTTGGGCAACTTTTTGAGAAATATATTCCTGTGTGACTTGAAAGCTAATTCAAAGGCTGCTGAGCCTTTCTGTGCAAAGTTCTGTGTTTCACTCTCAAGGCAAGGCTGTTCATGGATGTTACACATGGGAGAAATATATATATAAAACTTTAGCATAATAAAGTGAGTAAAAGCATATGTATATAGATGGCAAGCCTGGCATTTTTATGCCTGAAAGTTGTTCAGTCACCAGTGAGCACAACCAAGATGTCATGCTTGTGTGAGGAGAGTGGTTGGTGGTTGGGAGGTGCAACGAATTATGAAAAGTCGGGTCTGGTATCGGAAAGATGATGCCTTTATCCCATTTTACTCCTCAGAACTGCCAGCTGTGTGCTGCTGACATCACAGCAGTAACTTTCATGTTCTTTGCCCTGCTTATGCAGGTCGCCGTAGCTTTGGGACAGTGCCCACGTGTGGGGTTTTTCTTTGGTTCTTTTGGACTGGGCAGGTTGTGACCTCCAGAGAATTACACAATTTGCATACTTTATGTAAAGAAATGGGTGCTTTGCACAAATACACCACACACGACCGGAACACTTGCAGACTTGACCTTGGCTTGGCTCGCTTCCTGGTCAGGGCCAAAGTCCAGGGATCTCGAGAGAGCCAGATTCTGGTCTGATCTTTGCATCCAAATCACTGGCAGGAGTTCGCTGGACTTGCTCCTCTTCTTCACCACTGCAGCCTCCTTGCCCAGCTGTCTCTCTTTGGCCCAGACAGATATGATGATGAGAAAGAGAAGCAGTGGATCCCATTGTCTACATGCTCACAGGCTCTTGGCCTCCTAAGTGAGCATCATCAGTGAAAGCTTATGAAGTGAGCAACAGCAGCTGGTGGCAACAGTGGTGAAAAACTAGACTCACTGTTGTGGTAAACCCACGGAAGGTGCCTTGCTCATGGGCTCTCAAAAACCTGGTGCTGCCACAGGCTTGACACTTGCCATTAAAAAAGATGCTAAACTTCCTTCAAAGGTTGTTAGCTGATCACATAGGTTGTCCAGCAGTGCTTTAGGGGTCCTGAATTCCATAGGCCAGACCTTCTTATTGTATCTTCATTGTGTTCTGGTTAGGAAAACAAGTAAGATACACTGGGCACTTGTGACATCCTTTAGTCTCTAGCTGCCTGGAAAGCCTGTCTGGCTAACATCATCCCACTGAGTCCATTAATGAGAAAGCATGAGAGCCGATTGCTAAAGGTAATATCCCCTGTGATCAGGATGAAAACATGTTGACCGTAGTGAAGATCTGTGCACTGTCTACCTGGTAGATAGGAAAATGCTGTTTATCAACGCATGCGGAGATCTGTGTGTGCTTATTTTTGCTTCTCATCCTGTGCATTTGAGTGGCGTCCTCTCCTTTGTATATTTTTGTACAGAGGAGCTTGTTTTCTCACCCGCTCAGTGCTGTGTCAAGGTTGGAGGAAACCGTCTGGCACGCACTGTTGGTAGCTTCTTGCAGCTTTTATGGGAAGGCGGCCTTGAATGTGTCACCTACAATGCACTTTTTTCCTTTTGAAGTAACGGCTTCTTTTATTTTAAGGTTCACTTATTTTCTAGGACTGTCTTTTCATATTCATATCAGCATAGATGGCGGGGGAGACAGAGGAGGGAGGGAAAGCCACACACAGAAACGAGAGAGGTACTTTCCAGAGCTAACTTGTATGAAGGATGCTGTCTTCCAGGCAGTGAGGTGTGCCTCTCCGGAGAGGCCTCAGTAGATATTTAACCTCTTTGTTCTTTGTAAGAAAGCTGTATCATGCAGCATGCCTAGAAATTTTTATCCTGACACGGTTAAAACATGCAATTATGTTCAGGTGCAGCATAGCACTCTGAACTAGCAATTTTAGGAACATGTATTTGTCTGCTGCTGAGTGTTGAATGCATCTTGAATGCATTTGTCCTGATCCGGTCTGTAGTTGATGGGTCAGCGGAATGCGATGCAAGATGGGCTGGTGAAGTATGTTCTGCTGCTGAGCAAAGTTTATATGTGTACAGCAGGGATGAAGGCATGGAACATTTTGGATCTTTTGAAGGCTCAGTGAAAATGCACCTACTGTTCTTTTAATGGGGACAGTTTTTTAATGCATCTGGAAGAGAGGACTGGGGAGATCCCTGTCTCATCCCTGGAGAGCTGAACCAATGATCTAACTTGGTATATGGCAGCTTCCTATGTCTGTTCTGTGGTGCAAGGCAGCACCCCCCATTGGTTTCAAGGGCATCTGGGCCAGTCCTTGTGGCCTGGTGGGCACTTTTTCTAAGCTGATGCTCTGTGATGACTGGACATGCAACCTGCGCAGAATGTCGTGTGCTGCAGGAGACCCACACAGTGGGGTCACTCACACCACAGAAGAGCCCTGCTGCATCCTACCTTTCCAGTCCTCTTTTCAACAGTGGCGTAGCAGTTGCCTTCGGGAAGCAACTACTGCACTTGCAGTCATGACTTCCATAAGAGAATTGCATGGAGAAGCATGTCTTAAAGTTTTGTCTTGAATTGGCTATCCTGACACTTTCACTGGGAGCCTCTAATTTTAGAATTATGGAAGAAGGAGAAAAATTATTTCTCCATGCTAATATTTTAATCTGCTATTAAACCATATTTTAACCTCTGCTATGTTTTCCCAGCAGTGTAATCGTACAACATTGTGGACATGATGAACAAAGGGGGATATGCATGGGTTGCATGGAAACTGTTCTCTATGTGGGGGTGCCATCTACACTTTGGAGCAGGGATAAGGGCACTTCTGCACAGACAGGGATTGGTTTGCAGAGCAGGTGAATTGGAAATGTAACAGTTATTACAGATATCACCAAGACAGTGAGCTCATTCACACTTACATTTGCATTGTTTAATTTTTTCTACACTTCACACCGCACATTTAAATGATTTGCAGCTGAATATGTGAAGACGCCATTGCAACGCAATCTGCTTCAGGTGATATCAGTGTTCTACCAGCATTCTTTGTTCTTCCGTTGGCCAGTTCGTTCATGCACATTGTCATTTGATGCAGTCTTTAAATATTGCTTGTGCATGTGTGAATTGGCCGTACGTTCTGTTCCCTTAGGAGAAATGTGATTGGAATAGCAGGGGCTTTGCATACAAAAGGACCCAGGCATCTCCTGGGAAGGGTCCCGCCTGAACCTCTGGAGAGTCTTTGTCAGAAGGTGTAGCAGGCAGGACTAACCTGGACTGGCCAGTGGTCTAAAGCCAGTTGCCACTCACTCACTCACTCACTCACTCACTCACTCACTCACTCACTGAATTTCTGTACCACGCAATAGTCAAAGCTCTCTGGGCAGTTCACAATATGATCCAAACTTCATGCAAGAATTGTAAATGATAGAAAATCAAGTAAAAAACAATTAACAATAGAACTACTGAGACTTGATTAAAAACTGAAACACCCCATTGTGTGCTGTCCAATGCCTGCAAATAGAGGAAAGCCTTAATCTGGTGCCGGAAAGATGCCAGTGTTGGCACCAAATGGAACTCACTGGGGAAAACATTCCACAGGCTTTCATCCATGAGGACTGTTCTCAGAGTGCCTTCCTCTGTAGATGGTGAAATTATTGAGATATAAAGTGGAGGCAGAAATTGTGAGTGAGTGATGCATTCATTTCAGTTTGGGATTAAAGACTAAGATCTGCATTTTTTATGATTCTTAGGTAAAAGTCATGGTGAGAATCTGCCCGTCGCAAGGAACACATGATTCATCGGAATCAATGTCGTTTCTGAAGGTAGATCCGCGGAAAAAACAGATCACGCTTTATGACCCTTCTACAAGTGGCCCTTCCAATGCAAGTCACCGAAGAGGAGTTGTGGCAGTCCCAAAGATGTTCGCCTTTGATGCAGTATACCCCCAGGATGCTGCTCAGGTATTGAAGCCAAGCGCACGCAGCTAATAATTTGGGTGGCTGCCATGGTATTTAAATTCCGGCAAGAGAATTCTTTGCAGCTTTTCGGGGAGATTTTTTTCCTTTGAATTAGTTGGCTTAATTACTGGGAAAGCATGCTAATTAATAGTCAGTTCGCAAGGTCTCACACTGTTTTAATTTAACCCAGATGTGAAATTAAGAAGCGATATCTGTGGAGATAATTCTGCTCGGTGAATACATTCCCCCCATACTTCTTTGTGCTATTTAGAGTAACACACACTCTGCATATGCACCTTGCGGTTTACTGAGGCTCTGATGGTGCGTCCCGTGTAGGTCTCTGTTTTGGCAAAACATTTGCAGGCGTGTGGTTGTCTGTTCTGGTTTGGGAGGTATTTCACACCTAAGAGGCCTTTGGTATTTTGCTGAATAACGATAGAACAGAACAGTACTCCTCCTATTGTGCTTGGGAAATGCAGGCTTGCCTCATTGAGAAGATCAGTGATGGAAAATTCCCTGCAAGAAGGTTGCTCACCATTCTCCACCCTTCAGCATTTGACAAAGCATCGCTCCCGAGCAATTGTATATGCCTAGGGCACACTTTCAGGCCACAGTGCAATTGGGAGTGAGTCCCAATTACTTTTGTGGGACTTTCTTCTGAGTAAAGGTGCTTAGGTTAGTGCTACATACTTGTGGTTGTAGCAGGAAGTCACAACAGACCTACCTATTTCCAGTGACGAATTGGATGTTTGCCTTCCAACTCACAGGGTACTCCAGAATCTTGCAAACAGGGCTGCAGTCCAGAGGGGAGATGCCAGGGTTTCTCAATAGACAAACAGATATAAAGGAAGTTAATAGAAGGAAAGAACCTTGATAACCATTGGAATGTATCATCTGCAGACTTTCAAATGTTGGAGTTTTACTTTGCTTGTATTTAAAAAAACCCCAAAATGTTCAGCAAATAGAGAGGAAGAAACAAACTAATTTTGCTTAATTTTATATAAGAGAACTTTCCCTGAGGGACAGATCCTGCTCTTTCTACACATGCTGCACTGCATCTCAGCAAGAATATAGGATGGTTCACTAACCATTGACAAATCAAGGACCTTCCTCCGTCACTGCTTGGTTAAGCGCACCATAGTTCCCATAACATCTGACCCAGGCAAAGATGGGTTCTGCAAAGCTTACTTGCTGTGTAGACTTTGCCTGAACTGGGGGAGAGGAGGGGCGAAGGTATGAGAATGCACATCAACTATAAAAAGGGAAATGATATTTTGTTTTTCATGTGGGCGCCTGAATGGGCTACCACTGGAAGAGGAGGGATTGTACCAAAGAGTGGTTGAAGTGAGGTCAGAAATAGGCTTGCCTTATACATTCAGAGGTACCATGTGTGTGGAGATTTCTTTTTAGCAGTTATAGATAGCAGAGAAAAAAAACCTCTAAGCTTGAAATAAAGTCTTGAATTTGAGATTTAAATCCTACAGAACAATTAATTTGATTTGATCATCTGGTGTCTAATGGTTTTAAAGCTGAGTCAGAATCTTATTTGGAATCAGAATCTGACTTTTTTTTCAAAATGTGAAATATTTGATCAGCTTGAATATTTCAGAAATTAAAGGAGAAATTTGTCTCAGCTGGTTCTCTCAGCATATTTTTCTGACATGTGGAAGAAAAATGGATTGAAGAATGCCAAATAACCCAGCCTTCTCTGACTTCGTTTGTGCTTCCTGCTCACTCCTTGCTCACTTACAAGTCAGCTTATTATTTAAATTCTGATGGGCTATGGGGATTTTTTTGTGGCCATTCTGTGAGGTTCACTGTCATAACAGCCGAGTCTGGATTTCCTTCTGGTTCTGGGGTGTTTGTTTACAGTATCACTTTTACATCCAACCTGCTGACCTGATCTCAGGCCTTTCTGTTCTAGCGGTCTACCAGCCCTGTTAACCCCCTAACCATTCAACACCTAGAGGGAGTTTGCCAAAGAAGAAGAGAGAGACCACCTATGATATGCGGGGGGAAGGAAGACACAGCCTTGGATTTATAAGAGCTGAGCAGGGCTGTCAAAGACAGGACATTTTGGAGGGTCTCCATAGGACAGAGATGACTTGATGGTTCATAAGAACAACTGTGAGCCCACAGCCCTGTAAGGTTCCATCTTTTAATTGTGGTTAAGGGACAAGGGATGCCCTGACTGGAGAATTGTGGGTTTTCTTGCCCTTCTTAGCTGGTGTGAGTGCCTCCTTCCCTTTCATCCACAGCCTTAAGGATTATACCTGCTTATGGTTTTAAAGTAACAATGCTATAAGAAAATGAAGAAAACCCCCATGGTGTTCAATTTAAGACAGAATTTGAAATGAGGGCTTAAACCTGGATTGTAGACCCTGCTTCTGAAGGAACATTCTGGACATTAGCCATGGTTAAAGTTAGCAGAGGAGGCAACCTGGTTAGCATTAAGCAGGGATCAGGTCAAAAGAGAGCCAGTGTGGTGCAGTGGTTAAGAGCGTGGGACCTGGCTCTCAGGAGATCTGAGATCTAGTCCCTGCTCACCCATGGATCCACTGGGTGACTTTGGGCCAGACACTGCTTCTCAGCCCAACCTATCTCACAAGGCTGTTGTTGTGGGGATAAGATTGAGTGCAGCAGGAGGAGAATGATATAAGCTGCTTTGAGTTCTTTGTGAGGAAAAAGGCAGGCTATAAATCTAATAAAATAAGTAAATAAAACAGATGATTTGAAATAAAAGTTTGAAGGTGGTGTTCAAGAAGGGATCTGGTCATCTTGTAGTCTATCAGATGTTTAGCCCTATAACTTCCATGTTGTATCCACTGATTTGATTTGTACCCTCATTTCTACCAGAAATGGCAGTCAAGGCAACTTACAGGAACAATTGAAATAAACAAGAAAAAGAAACTATTGAAATAAACAACAAAACGATATATTTTATCCATGTATTCTGTTTATATTCCACCTTTTTCCTTTAGGGGACACAAGGCAGCTTATATAATCTTCCTCTTGAACATATCCTCACAACAACCTTGTGAGGTAGATTAGGCTGAGCATCCATGACTGGGCCAAATTCACCCGGTGACATTTGTGGCCAGGTGGGGACTAGAACCCAGATCTTTTGGATCCCAGCACAACACGTTCACCTTTACACTACACTGACTCTTTTATTAAAATACAACAAAGCATAACAATTACAGAATTAAAAAAATAAAAGCATTACCCAATCCAACAGATCACTAATAGGGTAAAGGCCTGATCCTTCACCATTGACTGTGCCAGTTAGAGCTGATGAGAGTTGTAGACTAAAACATGTATTATAGGCATTTACATTCCACCTTTTTCCTTTTGTGAGGAACCTAAGGCAGCTTACACAGCAACATGTTATCCTTCTGACAACAACTCTGTGAGGTAGGCTAGGCTGAGAGTGAGTGACTGGCCCAAAGTCACCCATTAAGCTTCATGGTTATGTGAGGACTAGAACCCAGTTCTCCTGATTTCCAGTCCTGCACTCTAACCAACACATCATTCTGGTCCTTAAAACACGTGGAGGACATCATTGCCCATTTCTGCCTTAAGAAATGTACAGATATAAGCCCAGCTTTTCAGGTGAAGAGTTTTGGGTAAGAAAGGAGGGTGTGCTGTACAAGCTGTCCTGGATCTCTAATCAAGGATAAACGGTTAAGATGCTTTTGTCTTGACTAGGTCATAGAATCATAGAGTCGGAAGGGGCCATGAAGGCCATCGAGTCCAACCCCTTGCTGTTGCAGGATGCTATGTTTTTTCCTTTAAATTTTTAATAATTTGACAAAGCATCTCCCACACAGGTTTATTAAAAACTATCACTAAAGAAACACTGTACAAAAAAAATCTGGAATTGCCTTGTATTTTTTAGCAGCTATGAAGAAATTACCACCTTGGACCTCCTCTCATTTGGCCTGGGAGGCGTCTTGTTCTGGTAGATCCCTGAGTGCTGAAGGAAAAGCAAAAGCTGGCTGGAAATGAGGCATGCAAGAGAGAGCAATCGAGTGTTAGTGACTTGTGGTTCAGACTCTATGGTTTGAGTTCTTTTGAATGCGGGGAGATGTGAATTTTCCCCATGGGGAAATTGTGCTGTGCTCTTGTATGCATCCCCCCTGCCCCCCAAACTCACATGCACAGATGAGGCCCAGAAACATCCACTTGTGTTGATTGTCCAAAATACCTCCTCTATTTTGTTTCTCCAATGGATATGGTTCCCAAAGTGAAGATAAAATAGAAATCTTTCAAAATTTCCATCGGGGGCTCTTGAATTCCTCTCTCTCCTCCCGTCATCCAACAGCTGGGGGGAGCTCCTTTGCAGTGAATCTGCCGCTATTACTGAGAAAGCATGGATGAGATATTATATTAGCCCTACGCTTCGGTGGATAGCATTTCTTTTGTTACCAAGGTCATAAAATTGATACTCCATGGGAGCCAGGATAATGGGATAGGAAACTATTGCAGACTTATATAGCAGCTTTTATTAGAGAAAAATGGAATATAGACACTAAAATAATACGACTAATGCTGTGAAATGTGCAAAAACATTGTGTTTGGAACTGTTCTTTTCGTATCAAAGGCATGATAAAGCACATACTGATACATGGTCTGAAGGTGGCTCTCTGCATGTCTTCTAGGCCGAGGTATGCTCTGGAACAGTCGCTGAAGTCATCCAGTCTGTCGTGAATGGTGCAGATGGTTGCATCTTTTGCTTTGGCCATGTCAAGCTTGGTGAGCTCCCAAATTCATTACAGTTAATTACTATGTCAGCCTGGTAATTACATGCTGTCAGCTCCTGGAACAATAAACCTGGAGTATATGAATAGATTAGAATTTCTTTTTAATTAGCTTTGCAAACTTCTCCTGCTTTATTTCTACACTGGGACCTTAAGTTGTGTGTTTCTTTCTCTCTTTTGTAATTCATTTGAGAAAAAGGTAAAAGGCAGCTATGTATCTATATTAGCTTCTTCAGGAACAGGCTTTTGTAGGACAGGTGTGACCAAATTCAAAAGATCCAAAGGGCCTTGAGAAATTAATTGGCTTTGGGAAGAAAAAGTTAGCAGAGATGGAGAAATTAATTGAGTAAATACCAAAGGATTAATAATGTAATACATAAAAGCCACTTTTAAAACATCTGTTCTTTCCCATTGTCTGTTAAAATGTGTGGCATTAACTATAATCGAAGGGCATGTTCAAACATTTTCCAGGCCCTCTGTCATATTCCTGCAAGCCAGATGGCATCTGCTTATTGACCATTCCTAAACTGCCAGTTGGGAAGAGCCCCATGAGAAATTTGTGGGAGTGGAGTGGGTACTGGAGTTTGTGGCCATGGAAAACCCTACTTCAGAGCTGGAGAAAAACTTCAGATTTTTAAGGGCAATGCCAGCCCACCTTAGGCAGCCAACAAGAATGGGGCAGAAGGGCCTTGGTGCATCTGGGAGAGAGCTCCATCTGTAGGGAATGAGAATGTCCATTCCTGTATACCTGTAGAAAGGTCTACAGGTGTGAATCTACCTATAGCAATGCTTCTTGTGATGTTAAGCCCTGAAATTGGGTGCAACAGGGCAGCCTTGGGTCTGCTGAGGCATAAGCACCTTCATTTCCCTATGTGACATTTTTGGTATCCATTTTTCTCAATGCAAGCAACATCTGAAAGTTCACAAAAATGTGATTTTGGAAAACAGCTCTGTCTTGGCTTGTGGAAGACTTGGGAAATACAAATTGCATAGGGCCTTTAAAAAAGTACATCAACAGAGTGAATGTTTTACCCATCCCTATAATGCCCATGATTATTTTAAGTGGTGTGCTGTCCATTTAATGTTGGACAGCACGCAAAAGTTATTCTTGATGGGCCAGTTAAATTTTCTCTTGCGTTCCCTTCAGGAAAATCCTACACCATGTTTGGAAAAGATAACTCCACGCAAGGCCTTGGTATCGTTCCCTGTGCGATCTCATGGCTCTTCAAACTAATCAATGAGCGGAAGGAGAAGACTGGAACGCGTTTCTCCATTCGAGTCTCCGCTGTGGAGATCAGTGGCAAAGATGAAAACCTTCAGGATTTGTTAGCTGAAGTAGCCACCGGCAGTCTGCAAGACGGGCAATCTCCAGGGGTTTATCTGCGAGAGGATCCAATATGTGGAACGCAGGTATAAGATCTCAGGGCAGGTTTGGAAGCCTGGCTTTTCCTTTCTCGCTGACATTTTTTTTTTAAAAACCCTTTTATCTGACAACAATTCCACCATTTCTTAAGGATGATATTTTTAATTGCTTTTTCATTTTTAATCCTCAGTCCCAGAGTGTACATATTTGTTTCCTTTAGCACCCTTGAGGCTTGCTCTATTCAGAGAGGGGGTATCATTCACCCCGTCTTAATTAGTTGTTGTTTTCTTTATATTCCAGCTTCAGAATCAAAGTGAATTAAGGGCCCCAACAGCAGAGAAAGCTGCCTTCTTCCTCGATGCAGCACTGGCAGCCAGGAGCACTAGCAAACCGGAATGTGATGAAGAGGATCGGAGGAATTCACACATGTTCTTTACCCTCCATATTTATCAATATCGCATGGAGAAGAGTGGCAAAGGAGGAAGTATGTTGCTCTAGCTAAAATTTGCTTTGCTCTCATGATGATAATTTGCTTCAGAACCAAAATTGAAGCTCAAAGAAAGCTTTGAGTTGAATGACCTTTTGATCATCCATTGAAGGAATCTCAGTACATATTTCAATGTCTTCTGCCGTGGAACTCAGTGTGGCATGCATACTTTCTGTCTCTGTCTCCGTTTTTCTGTCTCTCTCTCCCCCCTTCCATTTTATCCTTACAATTTCCCACAGCTTGGTACCACTAGTACAGTATCATTTGTGATACTGGACCAACACCATTGGGTACTGCCCAAATGATCTGATCATTTACTAATGCCGTTTATTTTCTGATGTCTCTATCCTCCATATTTAATTTCTGCTGCCTTAGTATTTCTGCTGTTCTGCGTTGAGCTGGACCAGGGTGTAGCCTGTGTTCCTGTTGCTTTTCAGTGTCTGGAGGTCGAAGCCGTTTACATCTCATTGACTTGGGCAGCTGTGAGAAGGTGCTCAGCAAGAGTCGAGAGGGAGGAGGTTCCCTCTGCCTTTCTCTGTCTGCATTGGGCAGCGTCATCCTGGCCTTAATCAACGGGGCCAAGCATGTGCCATACAAGTAAGTGAGTTATTCTACCTAAGGTAGACCCAAGGCTTGGACTGGATTCTCAGGTCACTTATCACTTACCTGAAGGCAGATTCAGATGGTGCTTTCAAGGTGGTGGACTTCTGGATGTGATGATACCTCCAGTTTTAGTTGTGTTCTCCTCCAAATGGTCAAAAGGAATTCTCTATTATCAGAATAAGGCATAGATGGTTGCTTCCTATTTGAGAGAGTTATGTCTTATAAGGCCAGCAAACACACCTTGCACATCCTGTTTAGCACTGGAAGAATGAGAAGTTTGTGTAAAGCATCATTGTTGTTCAAATGAGAACTTACCAAGATTCAGTGTGGTGCAGTGGTTAAGAGTGTGGGACTGGGACTCAGACAATCTGGGTTCTAGTCCCTGCTCAGCCATGGAGCCAACTGGGTGACTTTGGGCCAGCCACAGACTCTCAGCCCAACCTACCTCACAGGGTTGTTGTGGGAGGAGATGTAAGCTGCCTTGAGCCCTTTGTAGGAAAAAGGCAGGATATAAATCGAAAAATAAATAAATGAATTCACAGATTCCTTCATAAATGGGATGGAAAGAACTTGAGGTTAAAAAAACCCCCAAAAATGGAAATGAACAGGTTTTTCCAGCCAAGGCTCTGAATGCTTGGCCTTTACACCTCTCAGTTGGTATTCACCCATTTTTAGGATAGAGTTAGTGTTGCCATCCGTTTAATCTTTCACAGCTCCTTGACAGGCATATCCAGCATTGTCTTCTCCATGTTGGGTATTGTTGTTGTTAATGGTCTTTAACCTATGGTGACCCTATGAATGAATACCCTCCAAAACGTCCCATCCATGACAGCTCTGTTCAGCTCTATCAAATTTAAAGCTTCCTTTATGGATTTAATCATATTTGGTCTTCCCAATAATAGGCATCTGCATATCTTAAACTAGTGATGTTTCTTTTACCAGTTTTCACTCCTTCCTCTGATTCTAATCCAGTTTTCCAAATGATATGTTCTGCGCATATACTGAACAGATAGGGAGGTAAAATACATCTTTGTCTGACACCTTTGCCTATGGGAAACCATCCTGTGCTCCATATTCTGTTCTAACTGTAGCTTCTTGTCCATGATACACATTACGCATCAGGACAATCACATGCTGAAACACACCCATTTCTTTCAGGACCATCCATAGCTTCTCACGACCCACACAGTCAAAGGCTTTGCTGTAGTCTATAAAGCACAGACTGATATTTTTTTTAAATTACTTGGTGCTCCCAGTAGCCAACACATATTTGTAGATTGATCTCTAGCGCTGCTTCCTTTTCAGAATCCAACTTGGTTGTCCAGCATTTCCAGCTCCATATAGGTCAACATTCTTCATTGCAGCACTTTGAGCATCACTTTGTTTGTGGGGGAGATTAAGGCAATGGCCCTATGGTTGCTGCACTCAGAATTGTAGAATAGTAGAGTTGAAAGGGGCCATGAAAGTCATCGAGTCCAACCCCCTGCTGTTGCAGGACACCACATTACACATCCTACTCAGACAGCTGTCCAGTTTCCTTTTGAATGGTGGGAGAGCCCACCACTTCTCTAGGCACCTGGTTCCACTCCTGAATTGCTCTGACAGTGAGGAAGCTTTTCCTGATGCCCACCCTGAATCTGGGTTGTTGCAACTTGAATTGACTATTCTGCGTCCTCCACTCTGGCATCAGCCAGAAGAGATCTTGACCTTCCTCTTTGTGACAGCCTTTGAGGTTCTTGTAGAGGGATACTTGTGGACTCTTTTGCCTCTCCTTCCTTGAGGATTGAAATATATATAGAATGTTTCCAGTCTGTGGGCCATTATTTTATTTTGCATATTTGTTGAGATGTTTTTGATGGGATTTGAACTGATTCATTTTCTGAAGCTTGGAATACATCTATTGGTAACCTGTCTATTCCAGGTTCTTTATTCTTTGCAAGTGCTTTCAGAGAAGCTTTCATTTTACTTTCTAATATTGTAGGCTCCTCTTCATGGGATTCCTCTTCAAAGAAGTCTGCCATCCTTTTATCTCTTCTGTGTATTGTTTCCACCTTCCCTTTATTTTCTCCTGATTGGGTAGCATGTTCCTTACTTGTTTGCTAGCATTGCTAATGTAGGTATGAATTTCTATTTGATTTCTTGGATCTTCTGGAAGGGGTATCTTGCTGTTCCTCTTTTGCTCTTGTCTATTTCTTCGTAATGGCCATTGTAAAAGTATTTTCATTTTTACATGACAGTTGCTGAGAGGTTGCATTCAGATTTCTGGCCCCGTTTCTGCCACCGTTTGCTTCTTGGTTGTCTTTTTCAACTGTGTTTCTTGTCAACCATACAGGCCTTTTTCTTTCTTGTTGCTACAGGAATTGTCTTTTGGCATTCTTCTCTAATGTCTCCAGTTTCAGTCCAAAGGTTTTCTGGCTCACTGTTAAGTTGAGCAATGCAGGTGCCATTCCTGGTGACCAACCTCCTCCCCTGCCTGGTGCACCTGGCAGTGGAAGTTGGGCTCTGGAGCACTCCAAAGCACACGAGTTTCTGGAGAGCCAAGCCCAGGGAATCTGATCAATTCCCAGCCCCAAACAGATTTCTTTCCACATCTCCAATAGAAAGAATGAAGCTGGATAGAGCAGGAAACAAAACCGGCAAGTCTTGTTGCCAGTTGCATTTAGTGCAAGAATACTTCTAAAATATTGTAGAATAAAATATTCTAAATGAACTAAAACACATGCTGATTCTGTTCAGCAGAATTTGACTCCATTGCATACACTTTTTTGATGGGACCAGCTCCAGGTTTCATATGGGCCCAAGATTGTACCTGGATAGGCCTGAAATCCAGGAGAAGCAGCATGCTTAGAAAGTTGTGGAAAGAACTGTGAATGGTGACAGATCCTTGTTTGTCTATATTCCATAGGGACAACAAATTGACAATGCTACTGAGAGAATCACTTGGGAACATCAACTGTAGAACAACCATGCTAGCTCACATATCAGATTCCCCAGCAAATTATGCAGAAAGTCTTACGACTATTCAGCTTGCTTCTCGCATCCACAGGATGAGGAAGAAGAAATCTAAGGTTGGTACACTACAGCAATGGTTTGGAAAGAATTCTGCTTACCTAAGAGCATAAGAAGAGACCTGCTGCATGAGGCCAAAGGTCCATCTAATCCAGCATTCTGTTCACACACTGGCCAAGCAGGTGCTAGTAGATCCAACAAGTACGGTGTGTGTGCGGTCGCACCTTGCCACTCTCCCCACACCTGTTGGCAAAATAGAATTCCATGACAGTGAGTGGAGTAAGCCAGTTCTTGAATCAGAAACAGTGCCTAATGCTTACACTTCTGAGGTGGGAGGATGATCCATGGCAGCAATACCTCCTGGGTCAGTGTTACTAGAATCAAAGACTCTACCTTTCTTGCCTTCTGTCTGCCAAAATGGAACTCTTTATGATTTTTTAAGTATAGTGAGGGATGGTTTGGAGAATCCTACTTTGATTGTCCCATTAAATCTGGTTGTAAATTCACTGGTGTGAAAACAGTGCACAGAAGCAAGTCATTCTATGATTCTGTGTTTGGGGACTGTATAAAGGGGCCAAGAAATGCCACCCTCTGCTCTTAAACTTGGCCACCCCTTTTGGCAGGTGGTGAGGCTGCAGGGAGAGGGGCATTCTGGGAATTTTGGACAGTTAGTGAGGGAATTTTAGTGGTAGTGTTTTTCTCAGTAGGCCGCCAGACTTTTTACCTAGATGTCCCCTCGCCATGGTGCTCCATGATGCTGTAGCATCGTGAGAAGAGGATGTATGGATTAAAAACAAAATGGCAGTTGCTAGTGGTAGTGCTACCACTGTAGCCGCAAAACAAACCATGGCAGTAGAAAACCTACATGCCTGGCAGAGATTTGGGGAACTTCCATTTTTATCCTAGACTTTGGGTCAAAAGTTCTCATTTGGCCACCTGGCACCAACCTTGCCAGCTTTTTAGCACCAGAGTTAGCTGACCCTTAATGCTGAGACTTTAAGAGAGATCCTTGGTTATCCACTGGCTTCAGGGGAGTACCCATCCCAGGCATCCATCCATCTGCCTGCCTGCCTGCCTTCCTTCACTATATGTTTTCAGCTGCTTTTAATTTTTTAATGTTTCGTTCAATAAGCTGTTATGCTACATGCACTGTATGTAATGGCATTGTTTTTATGTACTGTTGTAAGCAGCCCAGAGAACTTTGGCTGTGGGCTGGTATAGAGATTAAATAAACCATAATAATTTTGGCCCAGTGCTAAGACTGCAGTGCAACTCAGGCACTCAGCATCTGCTGCACCAGGCCTCCAGTTGTCCAAACTGCTTTGGAGGATGTAATGCCTCGGATGGCAAAAGCATCTCCCGAAGCCACCTCCCAGCCACACTCCAAGTGAGTCTAGGATGCTAACAACCTGAATTAGGGGGTGAAAGTGTTCCCTAGACTGCTCCTAATTAAACATTTATCTTAAGTATCTTGTACTGGGATTGTTTCTAGCAGATAACAGGACCTGGGGTATGGAACGGGAGGTGGGAAACAACCTGTTTGCTTTAGCCTTTCATGCTAAAAATGCTGGTTTATTTTGTTTTGGGTTTTGTTTTTTTGCCATTGACAGTATGCATCCAGTTCCTCTGGAGGAGAAAGCTCATGTGAAGAGGGCCACATACGAAAACCGCCTCACCTGCGGCCGTTCCATCCGAGAACCATAGCTCTAGATCCTGACCTTCCCGTGCTGAATCTTTCCAGCGAGCCGGATTATTCCTCAAGTAGTGAACAATCCTGTGACACCGTCATCTATGTTGGTCCCAATGGCACAGCACTGTCAGATCGCGAGCTGACAGATAATGAAGGCCCTCCAGAATTTGTCCCCATTATCCCTTCCTTGAACAAAAAAAGAAGTAAAGACAGCTTCGGTCTTGCGAGAAGTTCTGACAAAGATCATTTTAAGTGCAACACCTTTGCGGAGTTGCAGGAGAGGTTGGAGTGCATTGACGGAAGTGAGGAACCGGCCAAGTTTCCTTGTGGGGAGGTCCCCGCAGCAGCATCCGGCAGCACAGTCCCAATAAGTGCAGACAACGGACACTCTAAATCAAAACCTCTGTCTCCTCCCGGAGGATTCAAGAAGAGCCTTTTGCCAGAAACGGGCCCTTCCAAGAAGGGGCACAACCTTTACTTCCAGCGCAATGGCAGTGGCCCTGAGAAGAAGATACCATCACTAAAGATGGAACACACCAAGCAACAGACCAAGCCTGAGGCCAAGAGAGTGGACTCGGATGGGGAGAAAGAGGCAGCGGTTGAATCCCACAAGTTACCCGCATGTAATGGTCCCAGGGACCATGAGGCAAGTCCAGCTACTGCTGAACTGGTGGTGAAAGAAAAGCCATCGCATGTGAAGAGACCTTTGCCCAGCCCTGCTCCCCCTCCTCCACAGCACCAGGAGTCCCCGCTGAAGAGCAAGCAGGCACACGTGAAGTTTGACCACAGCCGTGCCATCCGGACACCCCCGGTGGGAATGAGTGAGCAGGTGGCTGGTGAGCCTGAACCTCACGCTGGAGGAAGCACGGTTTTGGCCACCAACAACGCGGAGCCGTCAGGAGATGGCATAGAGTTGCATAGGTTCCACTCTTCATTCCGGGGCAAATGCTTTGACCGGGATATTTTGACAACCACAGTGACTTTGCAGCAGCCGGTGGAGCTCAACGGTGAAGATGAACTTGTATTTACAGTGGTTGAGGAATTGTCCATCAGTGGGATCTTGGACAACGGAAGGCCTGCCAGTATCATCAGCTTTAACAGCGACTGCTCTCTGCAGGCCCTTGCATCTGGCTCTCGGCCGGTTAGCATCATCAGCAGTATAAATGATGAGTTTGATGCTTATACTTCCCAGGCAAGTGCTGCTGGCGTTAACATTGAAATTGTTGTGCCCTTTGCTGAAGATCCATTCTCTAGCAGTAGCAGACGTTCCTCCATCAGCTCATGGCTCAGTGAAGTCAGTATATGTACAGTTGGGAGTGACGGAGGCCGGTCTGGTGATGGCTTCCTTGAAGAGTCCCCTTACAGCTGTAGCAAATCTGAGGAACCATTTAACTTGGGTTCTCCTAATGCACCGGTCCCCTTGAAAGCCACCCTAAATGACAGCGGCTTTTGCTTTTCCGAGCTGGAGAGTGAGAGCATGAATTCAAGGAAAACTTCAGGAGGTGAGAACAAAAGCCCTCCAAATTCTGACTTAACCAAAGCATCTCAGACAGAACATGTTCTTTGCATCTCTGATCAGCCAGCAAAAGTTAGGCCTTCTAACTCTCAAAATGCACCAGTGATCGAAACAATACACTCCAGTCTTCCTCGGAGAACGAAAACTACCTCAACTTCAACCCACAACACCACCACCCTTAACTATAAGGAACTGCCAAAGTCACATGTCATGTTCGAGGATCCCTGGTTGGTTCGTACAGATGATGGTTCGGAAGCAAATGCCACAGATCGGTTGCCATCTCCAAACATTCAGACACTCAGTGCTGAGAAACAGTCCGTCAAGCCTGCCCAACAATTTGGGCCGACAAAATCTCAGACAATGCTTGCATGCTTGCAGAGGGTTGTCGATGGTTGTGAAATGGCCTGCAAGTCTTCCAGTGGAGCTGCTAAAAAATCTGAGGCCATTACAAAAGTGCCGCAGCTCAGAAGAGGAGCAACCACACTGGGAGTGGTCCCTGTGTCACACAACGCTGGCCCAGCTGCAGAAGGTACAAGCAGGGCAAATCCTGAAGCTGCTTTTGCCACCAGCAGCCTGAAAAAGAAGAGCATGCAGCAGAAATCCAGCATGCTGCCCAGGCCTAACGGAACAGTGCCTCCAGCACCCCCTATCCGTAAATCGAGTCTTGAGCAGAAAAATGGTGGGCTAGCCAATGGATGGGGCAAGGCTGCAGGACTGGACCCCACTAAGGCCGCCACAGCAAAAAATGAGGATGAGGCCGATTTGCGCGGAAGGTCCGGGTTATGTGCTGCTGAAAACCTCAGTAGCAGATGTAACCTCAAGGGAGACCATTCATTACCCAAAGCAACTTCGAGCTTGAAAGCCAAGACATCCAAAAGCGAATCTGTCCATCGCTATGGGAGCCACATGTCCCTTGAAAGATGTGATAGCCTGACGTCTGTTGGATCCAAGGTCAGTCTGATGAGGGAAAATGGCAGTGGCGGCACGAGCAATGGCAGAAATGGTCGGCTGGTCCCCAGGCTTGGCGTTCCTCCTGTCTCCTCCGGCCTGACATCACCTCCCTCATACACCACACCTTTACCATGCAAAAGCAGTCAAGCAAAAACTGTTGCAAGCCAGAAGGCTCCGGCCAGTGGAAATAAGAACCGGAGCCTTTCAGCCAGCGGATCCAAGTCTCTGAGCAGCTCTGTGAAGTCGCTAGCTCAGTCTGCTGGGAAGACCTCCAGTGTCCCTTTGAGCGGGAAGCCCACTCCGCGGTCTGTGCAAGGTGTGACCAGCAAACCTGGCCGTGGAACCATCATGGGGACCAAGCAAGCCATCAGGGCAGCCAACAGCCGTGTTAACGAGCTGGCGTCAGGCAGCTCAGGCAAGATGAGCCATTTCCGGGGCTCGACAGACTCTGACAGTGGCAACGACAGTGGAATCAATCTCAGCGATGAGAAGTCGCAGGTCCTTGTGCTGCCATCGCCATACAGCAAGATCACTGCCCCGAGAAGGCCCCAGCGGTACAGCAGTGGGCACGGAAGTGACAACAGCAGTGTCCTGAGCGGAGAGCTCCCCCCAGCCATGGGCAGGACGGCGCTTTTTTACCACAGCGGTGGCAGCAGCGGCTATGAAAGCATGATCCGGGACAGCGAAGCCACTGGCAGTGCATCTTCGGCTCACGATTCCATGAGTGAAAGTGGCATGTCCTCCCCAGGGCGCATGAGAAGTCTGAAGTCCCCAAAGAAAAGGTCAACAGGTAACACAAACAGAAATGCTCATGCGAGCATTTCCAGTGCCTTAGAGCCAAGTGCTTCTTCTGCAAGTGTGTCAAAGCCATGAGCGCACGGATCGTGCAAAGCACATCGGCCTAGAGGCCCACAAGATGCTGGATGGCGTTGGATAGGTAGCAGATGTGCTCTTGCTGAAGAGATAAGCAACTGACACGTGTGGCAGCCTTGTCCAGTCTGGTGTCCACTAGATGTTTGGGCCTGCAGCTCCCAGCATTCTTAACCACTGCCCATGCTAGTGGAGGTGCATGGGAGTTGAAGTCCAAAGCATCTTAATTAATTAATTAAGTTGTTGCATTTGCATGCTGCACCTATATCCATGTCTCTCTGGGTGGCTTACATTACAATTATAATTACATTAAAATGTCAGTTAAATAACTCAATACAGCAATGAGTAAAAAAGTAATAACAATATATATCTATGTATTATATAGATAGATAATAGGGATGAACATTCTCGTAGTAAAGTAACATTAACATAATTGAATAATCAATTAATCAAATTTACACGTACCAGGCTGGGGAAGGCTGCTGTATGTTTCCATGAACAATGTCAATCTTCACGTCTATCCTTTCATAAATTCTGCCCTTATAGATCCTAAATAGGTGTTAGCTAATGATGCTACTGCAGAGTAGTTCCGGCTCCCATCACCATTCGACAAATCCATTCTCACTTGCTGTTGTGTCCATTACTGCTTAAAAGAGGTGTTGTTATGTGCCACCAAGTCGTCTCTGACTTACGGTGACTATGGATGAAGCCCTCCAGATGTCCTTTCCATGAAAGCCCTGCTCAGCTCTTGTAAATTCAAGGCATGGCTTCCTTAATGGAATCCATGCATCTCATCTTTGATCTTCCTTTTCTTCTGTCTTTGACTTTTCCTTGCATAATCGTCTTCTCCTGGGAGTCTCGCCTTCTCATGATGTGTCCAAAGTATGACAGCCTCTGTTTTGTCATTTTTGCTTGCAGGGAAAGCTCTGGATTGATCTAATCTAGGGCCCACTTGTTCATCTTTCTGCCATTCCAGGGTATTTGCAAACATCTCCTCCTCCATGATTTGAATGCATCTGTTTCCTTGCTGCCCCTTAAAAGGGTAGATGCCCTCAATCTGGTGTCTCTGCTTTGACCAGTCTGCGTTGGGTGATCCTGCTAGGATAGCATCCTTGTAAGAGAGTCTAGGCTTCTGGCAGCACTGCTTTCAGTTTCTCTGGCACGATCAAGCCCTCTTACCATGTTAAAGTGTGCTAAGAACAGGGCGAACCCATCTTCTTAGCTCCCTAATATGATTTTGTACTCTGATGTTACCAGAGCAGTGTGGGAGCAACACGGTTGTTGCTCCTAAGATATCACAGTTGGCCCACATCCCATCCACATTCACTTAGAAGAAAGGCACTTTCACTGTCACTTCTGCAATTATCACTCTCCATCCCAATCCAAGACCCAAAAGGATCATTGAGGAACCCTTCATGAATTTTTTAAAATGCTCAGAAAAATAGGGCAGAAACTCATGGAATGAAACTGGCCTCTAGCCTCCTCTTTCCAACCCTCATTTTGATCCTGTCCCTTCCTTCTGCACCCAGTGCCTTACGATATTACAGTTTCCGAGCCATTTGGTGACCACCCACAGCCTCCTGAAGCAGCGCCCAGCGGTTGCCTTGAATTAGCAGAAGATGCTCCTTCCTATTAAGCCCAGCCAAGCTCTCTGGAGCTCATTGAGTTCAGTTTTCAAGCTGGGCTATTTTACGATACTCTCTTTACTTTCCCCCCATCCCTTCCTCTCTCTCACCCACCTGGAGGTACATTAATTGTCCCTTCAGTGCTTTCTCTGCTTGTTCCTAGACTAGGCTGAGACTTTTTTTGGCATGTAGCTGTGCAGCTCTGCAAGCCACCTCCACCAACAGCAACTGCCACCTTGTTCCACAGGAAGGACCAGAAGAACTGTGGTTATTGCTGCTTGTGCTCTCTTTCCCCTTCCTGCAGAATTGCCTCTCCCAGTCTTCTCTAGTTGGTAATTGCCCTGCAGGATCACCTTTCCTGGTTCCTGCTGTTTCTTGCCTGCCTGTAAACCCACACAGTGTTTGATTTTCCCTGTTTCTCCGTTCATTACAAAGCACAGCTAAAGGATGGTTGGGTGCCCATGGGTGGAGGGGGGCAGAATGAAGGTGCATGTGTGTGGGGAAAACGGATACATGCGTGTGGATGTGTTTGCAGTTGGATGCATTGGGGTGTGGCACAGATGGACACCTGTGGGAATGTGAGTAGGGTTTGGAAGAGTCTGTCCGTTTATGGATTTCTTCTTGAGCTCAGCCTGCTCTTGCAAAGCAGGTCTAGCCAAGCAGAAGCTCTAAATGCTTGCAGAATGTAGGTTGTGAACCTGGTGGGCCTGGTTGGGCTTAGCAGGAAGGAACATCTTCTGCTAATTCAGAGCAACAGCTGGGCACAGGTTGCTTCAAGGCAACCTTCTGGCATGGAAGATGGACCGCGATAGCAGTTGCAGGGGGCGCCATTCCTGGTGGGCCCAGTGCAACCATTTGGGCTGCTGCAGCTGATGCAGAAGGAGGATGCTGCTTGTGTGCCATCTTGGGCTCCATCAGGAACTTGGGGAGCTGAACCTGGGAATCTGTCAGGTCTGAGTGGATGGATGCATGCAGGGAGGGGGCATGGATTGATGTGTGCGGATGGATACGTGTGTGGGGATGTGCATGGGCTGTGTGGATGGCTGTGTGAGAGGGAGAGGCAAAGAGGGAGTGCAGGATGAGGACGAGTCTTTTGATAGATGGACATTGTCCAGGCAGATGGGTGCATGGCAGTGCAGTGTCTCTGTGGCTTCAGCCTCATTCACTGCTGCCATGTGAGCTCAGGACATAGAGGATTGTGGGCATCCAGGCAAAAGTGCTTTCCCGTCCCTGCTTTAAGATGCTGGGTTTGTTTGATGCAGCAAATATCTTTCCACTGGTTCCTTCTGCAGTTCTTTGATTGGCAGTTCCCCGAGTCAAAATTAAAGAGATGTAAAAGAATTTGGAAAAACAATGCAGTAAACTTTGTGATTAATGCTGCTAATTAACTACAAACCTAAGGCTTTCATTAGTTTTACAGCACATTTAGACAATCAACTGAAATTAGAAATAGATTGGAGATTCACTAGTGTAATCAGTTCCAAGTGGCTTCTTTTCACAGAAGAGTTTGTCCAATCTATTGAGCCCTCCAACTTGCGAGAACAATGATGAGGGGCTTATCTAGTTTGAGTTCGGACAAGGCCAGTTGGCGTGCAGAGCGATTCTTGAGACGCAGCCTGGTGATGTGACTTCCCCCCAACTCGTTACTTACCCTTTTAGAACAAGCATGCTTCCTAAGAGAAAAGGACCATTAGGACAACATTACCGAGAACAATAACATCTCAGTCTTTTCCCCTGACTCGCCCTTCGACCGTGATGATGATAATGATGGCATCCCACCTTTTTTTCTCTTGTGAGGAACTGAAAGCTGTTTGCATAGCTCTGTTTCATCCTTACAACAACCCTGTAAGGTAGATTAGGCTGAGTGAGTGACTGGTCCATGGCTGAGTCGTGACTAGATCCTGGATCTCTCGGGACCCAAGTCCAACACTCTAACACTGCACTGGCTTTAGTGTGAGTAGTTTACTAGTCCCTGAATAAACATCACTGTTCTTTAAAATGTATAAAGGACTTTCCTACTCAGATTGATTTTGAACAATCAAGAGCAATCCATCAATCAAGCGCAACCAATATCTACCTAACAAAATATGGGAATCCAGTTTTCGAGTGTGTCTGTGTGCTAGAAATGTATGATACAATTTCTTTCAGTTTGGGGTTTACCCAGTTGGGACTGAACATGAACTCAGATGTAACCTGTGGTCAAAGTTCATAGATGTCCAAGCTTTCGGCACAATTCATGGAGCCCTAAAATGAATTTGAGATTTGAAGAGTGAGAATGAAAAAAATGGATACTTTTGAAAATGTGCACCAATATACTTTAATCAATGGGAGAAGAGTGTGTACATTCTGGAAGGACCCATAGTGGATGCATACATTTGGAAAAAATGCATGAAAACAGGCACAGAATAAAACCACTTTTTTTGTGAAAAAAACAAAGCACTCGATCTGACAGGATTCAAGTCAGAGGGAGCTCAGAAGGAAAGCAGAGAACCTTGGTGAGCTCCAGTTTTGCTGATTTGCATATCCCAAGAATGTATATTTATGCATGTGTATATCTGTGTTTAAGAACACATATACATGTGTGTGGGCAAGCTAATGCTTCTCCTGGTGTGTTCCCTGGTCCTGCTGACCAATTTTCTTCATTCGGTGACCAATCCATTTAAAGACCAGGCTTCAGCCTTCACAGCTGTTCTCTTTTCATAGCACATCAACCTCTTAAGTCTCTCCTGCAAATCAATATTAACAGCTGTGTAAAGTTGCACACATATTGAGAAGGTATTACTGGCTGATGGATTTGTCTTTGGTTTTGCCCCAGGAAATGCTTTATAAGGTCTTTCGTTCTAAAATGACAAACAGTCCCCTTTTCTCAATTGGAATTGTCCTCCGTCAATAAATTACAGTTTACTTTTCAGAGTGCTTGGCGCTTTGACACTTGTAATATATTCAGAAGTCATTCTAGGTTTTAGTTTAGGGGTTGGTAGAAAAAGCAGCAATACAATCTTATGAAGTCAGCTCTGTGGGTTCAGTCGGACTTTCTCCCAGGTCGGTGTGTTTAAGCTTGCAGACTAACAATGCAGTCCTGTAACAAACGGATGCGGGAAGAAGCTCCACTGTGTGCAATAAGGGCATTCTCTCAGATAATGATATGTAAGGATGCAATTCTACGAAAGAAGCCCATATGGAATTCTATATGTAAGAATGCAGTCCTATGGCAGATCCATTTTTCTGCTGAGGGCCACGTTTGCTCAGGAATTTAACGCACCGCATGCTGATGGTGGGTGAGCACAGAGCCAGATGTGGACAGTGGAACACTTTTCTCCTTTCTTTTACTTTCCCTTCCTGCCAGCCCTCCTTCTGTCTGCCAGAACCTTTTCTCTCGCTTGCGCTTCTCCCTGCTTTCTGACATCCTCTTCGCTTTCACCCTCTCCTCCCGGCAGGCTGCCGAGGAGGAGACAAATCTTCCTGAATTAAATGGCTTGCAAAGAGCTTTAATATTAGGCTGATCGCCTGCCCTGGATTAGGGAACAGAGTGGAGGTTATATGTAGGTTTGCACAGTAAGACGAGGACTTGATAAAGGTACATAAAGAAGAACAGTGTAGACGGTTCTTCACTAACAGTCAGGTCCCTCAGGAATAGTTATTGGCACAGGTTTTGGAGAAACAAGATTCCCCTTTCATGCTGTGGCACTGCCATGTCACATGCCTCTCGCATTCCGCCGAGGAAGACAAAGCGTGCGCCGTGATGTCATTGCACTGCAAGTGACCAAGTGGATCCTTCATGCGATGTGGGCATGGAAATGTGCGGTATCGGCAGGGTGGCCTAGGGAGGAGAAATTGCTGGGTCGCTGGTCCTGCATTGGCCAGCCGCTGCTCTGAGGTGGGTTTCCAGACTGCTCAGCCCCATCCAGGGTTCTGTGTTTTGGCCATGCTAAGTTGACCGAATTCAGTGAATGTTGGCAACTGGCTGTTCCCATAGATGTGCATGTGAATGTTACACAAAGTAAACCGGCAGGCCCTGCAGAGAAGTACATGCATAGCCTGGACTGGCACATTGACTCATAGAATAGTAGAGTTGGAAGGGGCCCAGAAGGCCATCGGGTCCAACCCCCTGCTGTTGCAGGACACCCATTTACACCATTGCACTCGGGTGGCTGTCCAGGTTCTTCTTGAACGTCTCCAGTGTGGGAGAGCCCACCACCTCTCCAGGCAGCTGGTTCCACTGTTGTATTGCTCAGTGGAGGGAGCTTTTTCTGAAATCTAGCCTGAATTTGGCTTGTTGCAGCTTCACTTGATTATTCTCTGTCCTACTCTCTGGCATCAGCGAGAAGAGATCTTGACCTTCCTCTTTGTGACAGCCTTTGAGGTGCTTATAGGGGGATTTCATGTCCCCCCTCAGTCTTCTCTTCTCAAGCCTGAGTGTGCCCAGTTCTCTCGGTCTCTCCTCATAGGGCAGAGTTTCCAAACCCTGATCATTTTTGCTGCCCTCCTCTGGACCCTTTCTAATTTTCCTGCATCTTTCTTAAATCTTGGTGCCCAGAACTGGACACAGTATTCCAGGTGATGTCTGACTAGTGAGGAGTACAGGGGAGCTACTACCTCTCGTGATTTGGGAGTGATACTTCTTTCAGTTCATCCCAAAATAGCATCTGCCAGATGAAGATACATGACTTCTTGTTCGGTTCCATCGCAGGTTTCCAGCGCCGTCGGCTGATCCCAGCTCCTCTTCCTGATTCTGCATCCCTGGGGAGAAAGCAGAGTACTGCTGGTCAGTGGGTCGATCTACCACCCTTGCCAGGCACTTTGAAGGAGCCATTTGAAATCAAAGTTTATGAGATTGATGATGTGGAACGACTTCAGCGACACAGACAAGAGGAGACTGAGGTCAGCACATATTTTATCACAACACTAGACAATCTGCGTCACACGCACCACAGACAAGGCAGGATCGTTGTTCTGTCTTGAGCGTGTGCCTTTAGTGGGAACTGCAAATGCTGTTTGTTACCCCATTTTTGCATTTTCTACATGGGGGTGCCTCACCCATTGAAAGTAATTGCTGCCTGCCATTAATTGTGTTTAACGTAGCTGATGGAGTGAGTGGAGAATATCAGTTAATATGTTACGAGAAGGTTTTATAATCATTGCCTGCCTGATGAAACTTTATGGCCCTTTCTTCACTAAAGGGTAATTAACTCTTTATGTAAATGGCATAAAGTATCCCGGTTAGAATTCTGTTAAATTCAAGATGTTGTGAATTTAATTTACTTGTAATTGGCCAAACAATCCAGTTAATTCTGAGTTGCTGACAGGAATTAGTTTGCTCCCATTTCTTTTTAATAACTTGTCTCCTTGTTTCTTTTGTGACAGCCTTTCCAGGATGTTGAAAAGGTAAGTCGAGTCTTTGGATCTGCTTTTACCAGGCAGCAAAGAGCTTTCATTCCTGCCACCACATTTGTGTCTGTTGTGCAAAGCGGTGAGGGGACAGTTCCAGGGGAGGGCCTGTGCATAGCAGAAGCTGTGGGCAAGAAGAATGTGCATAAAAGACCTTGTATTACAGGCCATGGATGCATTGCCCAGGTGCGCTTTTATCTCTGTGGATATCTTAGATCTTTCATGATTTGTTTCTTTATTATAATACGTTTTGGAATCCGTGATCATAAATTGTGCTTTGCTGCTGCATTTAATTTTGATTGCATTTAATTGGCATCTATTTATATTACCATTTTTTACTTTGTATATATGCACATGGCCCTGAGAGCCTTGGTTTTGGGAGACTTATTCATCAAATAAATGAATCAATGCATTTGTAGATACATATAATAAATAGAGTTGCAATGGAGCATTTATTGGAGGACCCAAATAGGGGTGATAGTGCATAACCCTTCCCGTCCCCTTTGCTTCTTCTCGGCAGCCCTTTTCTGCTGCTACTCTGAACCTTCCTTTCCTGATCAAATGGTGAAAGGTGTTTGGGCACCGGGCTTGCAGAGGAGAAAAAGGACATGGGAAAGCATTTATGTACCCCGTCTACTTTTTCCCTTCTAAATGCCCTTCCAACTTCCCCTTTGTGTGCAAGTCAAATTCAGGGTTGAAAATCTCTAGTTCTGCCTACAGATTTTGCCATTTTGGTTTTCCTAACTAAATTATATTTACTCTTTGCACTGCGGAGAGAAAGCAATTTCTGTACATATGGTTGTAATTTAGGAGTATCGGAGGGAAGTACATTAACTCAGGGAATGGCAATAAAATGTCTTAAATGCTCATAGCATGTCGCTTTTATTAGATTAGCATCCATGAAAGTCCACTTCCAGCAAAGGGAGCCGGGTGGGAGAGAGCCCTTCTGCTGTTTAATGTGGCATGTTTGTGCTGTACACCAGTAGTCGACGCTGAATGATGAGGGCCGTAAGATTTGGGGGCAGAGGAAGGAGCAGGCATATGGCTAGCAAGGATCACAGCTCGGCAATTCTCATCTCTTCAAAGGGCCTGATATATTTTAATACCAAGCTGAAAATTCTGGAGAGGCGCCACCAGCGGATTAAAGAAGTGAAGGCAAAGCACGAGCTCTTGAAGGATGAGTTGGAAGAAACAAAGTGCAGGTTGATGCTGGATCCAAGCAAGTGGCAGGGGGAATGTAAGTATTTTTAGCGGATAACCACCAACGGCATTTAGTGCACGGTTAGCACTAATTGCAATTGCATTGCACTGGTGCGAGCGAGCTCTAGTGCAATGCCAGTCGTGTATTAGCTGGTGCGATAGGTTTTCAGGGAAATGCCAACGTGTTTTGGTGTTGTGCTTAGAGATATCTTATGCTACTGCTGTGCAATTTCTACTAGTCCTCGTGTTGCACCAGATATTTCCCCGAGGTCCCCGATGCAGGAAAAAATAGGTGTGCAAAAAATGTTCCTATTACCTTCTGGCATCTAAAATATTGGGTTTGAGCCTGAATTGTTGAGGTGGGCAAAAATAGAATTAGTTGGCTTGGGTGTGTCTCCTTTCATAATTCATCTATGCCTTTGTTCTAGTCCACTTTCCTTTCTAACTATCTTTTGATTTTATATGGTCAAAGGCTGGCTATGGAAGGCTGTGCAAAAGTATTGCCCGTGTCTTAATCCAGAAAAATAAGTATTTGGGCCCATTGGATATGCTTTTAGTGGTCTGCTCTGTGCTTTGGTGCCACTCAAAAGAATTCCCCTTGGATGTTCTTCCTTTTCTATAGAGTTCCTTCCTTGTGCACAGTGGGCTTGTTCATTCTACTGTCCACTTTGTTAAAACTATGAAATTCTTTGCTTTCTGCTCAGAGTGAAATGAGATGCTGTGCTTAATGTGGGCTCACCTATCTCATTTCCCTATTTTGCATTTCCTTGCCCCACTGCTACCCCATGGCTAGTTAAGCTGTGGAATTCACTGCTGCAGGAAGTAGTGAGGGCCACTGAATTGGATGGCTCTAACAGGGGACTGCACACATTCATGGAGGAGGAAGGTATGGATGGCTGATGGCTTTGCTGCCCATGTGCTACCTCTGTTATCCAAGGTGACCTGCTTGTGAAGAATATACCCCCCCCCCAATTATAAGAACAGGGGTCACTTACTTAGTATTCTGTCAGAGGGACACAAGAAGGTCCAAAATATAAAACAAACCTTTATCAAGAAGGTCATAATTTGCAAAAATTAGCCTGGAAGTAAATGTTTTGACACCAAGGAAAGACATGCAAGTCAAGAGAACCCTGTACAAAAGTGACTATTTTCCTTCTTATGATGCTTGCCAGTAACAGATGTATCCTGCCTTTATTTAGAAATGCATCTTGTTATGATATTCTCCGTCATTGCCAAATATAACATATATGTGGGATATGTTGGATGAATGAAGGAGAGCTGATCCCTGCTGGGTGGGCTCACTCTGCATTGCTGTGGCCCACCTGCAATAAAGAGGGTTTTTAATGACTTTTGCTGGTGCTGCCTGTCTCTCAGACAGAAGTCAGACAATGAACATCGGGGAACATCCCCCCCACCATACTTGTGTGCACCAATTGCTGAGGAATGGACAGGTGGAGCTCTTGTCCCCATCCTGCTTGAGGGATCCTGGAGGCAGCTGGCCTGTTGGCATGTGAATGGAGTGTTGGGGCGGGTGGAAAAGCTAGGGTGGGTTTTCTCATTTTTTTAGGTTCTTCGGCTGCTGCTGTTGGGAGTGGGAGTCAAACGGTGATATCAGCGTGATCTAATGGGGCTAATTCCGTTGGCAGGACTTGACATGGGCTGCCATTTTTGGTGGCAGGCCATTTTTAGTGTAATGTGTGAAGCTGGCCTTCTGCCTGCGGCTTTAAAATGGCGCCAGGAGCTCTCAGCAAAGGAAATATCAGTGGCATTGCTGTCCCGGGCAGTGAGGATGAGGTTGCCAATGACTGGCAGCCATCTTTTTCCCATCCTGTGGTGACTTCACAGGTCCGTGGCCATAGCGTACAGAGCAGCCTGGCCTGAGCTGCAGGGGAGCTTTGAAACAGAGAAAAGCAGACCATTCAGCTCCCTTGTAATGAGAGGACAGTGACTCCACTCCTGAAGTTTTGCTATCCAGACATTAGCCTCCCCACCTGCCTTCACTTCACTTCACTTCACTTCACTTCACTTCACTTCACTTCACTTCACTTCACTTCACTTCAGCCTCCCATAGCCCTCCCAAATTTGACAAAGTTGCAAAGAGGGGGGTCAGACCATTCCTCGTAGGGGTGTCGCTCCAGCCACCTGGTCTGTTGGGCCACCCTTTACTGCACCATTTCCAGCTCAACAGTCTCCTTTTCAGGATCCAGTGAGCAGAATGAACACTGTATTTCAAGTGTGGTTGCACCACAGATTCTTAGAAAGATATTTATGACATTTATTTCTTTCCTAATGATCCTGAGTATTGAATTTACCTTTCCACGACTGCCATTCACTGCGCTGATTTCATTTGAGGAATCCATCACAATCCAAAGTTCACTTTCCTGGTCAGTCACCATCAGCTTGAATCCTGTCAGGGCCTGTGTAAAGTGAGGGTGGGGTTCCACATTCGGCCGCAGATGCCATTATGTTGCATTTTCTTTGGAGCTCTCTGTAATCTCATTTTGCTTTTTCAGCTCTTGATAATATGGGTCCAGAAGCTCATGTCCAAATCCAGACTGCGTAATGTCCAAGTCTGTCCAGAGCCAGGGTTCCCCCTCCACACATTCAAAAGCCACAGACAATTTTCCTTGCAAGGCGTCCTATGATGGCCAAAAAGCACAAAGCACCCTCTGAGCATGCACAGAGCAGTTGAACCCAGTGTCTTATTCACCTCCAGGAACTCTCCTTATGAGCATGCCTGGGCCCCATTCCTTTGGAAGCAGCCTTCTGAAAATGAGCACACCCTTTTCTGCTGATGCCATGTTGCCTGAGAATGAGAACTGCCCTGCTCTGAGTCTCCTGCTGCTGGCTGTACATCTTGGTTTTCCCCAGGGACTGCCTGTATCCCTGGGGAGTCTGGCCTTGAGAGAAGCATCTCCGCCTCCCTCCGTGTCTCAGGATGACCCACATTCCCAGCTCTCCCCCCCACACACACACACAATTCTGCTTCACGTTCTTCTGAGATCCAGCAGCCCTTGAGAAGCAAACACCCAAAGCAACCCACCTCTCATTCCCAACACAATTCTGCCTTTCAGGGTTCTTCTGATAGCTGCACCTGTTTTCCCTAATTACAGATCTTTTGGGGGTTTCTTGGCTTTTTGCATTTTTTAACCAAGCGAGAAGTTCAAAATGCCTCTCCCAAAGCTTCGTTGCACGGCATTAAGTGCTTTAAATGAAAATATGCTCGTATTTTTGGCCTTGCTCCTTTTGCTGTCAGGCCCACCCGATACTGGCATGCAGTTCCTGAGAGCTGCTATGCAGTGAATTCCACCCTCCGGATGAAAGATATTTAGCACCCTGTTTTATGATGAGGTGCTATCGTACCCGAGCACCTCATAGCAAACTGCTCGCTCTCTCTCTCAATCATTTTGCGACAAGCTAAGAAGCACGGAGGACCTTCTCACATCCCTCCGTGTGAGAACTGTCTGTTTTTCCCCCTCAGCTAAAAGCCTCATGTGACGAGCCCCAGAGAGGCATTTATTTGCATGGATGCCTCATTGTTCAGTCAATGGTTGGTTCCTGTGTTGGGAGCTATTCCTTTCCCACCTTCCTCCCAGTTCCAGGAACTCAAGACAATCCTTTGAAATGCAGTTCTTTCATTGTAACTCCACAGTTGACCCTAAGTAGCCTTTTTCCAGAGCTGGAAGGAGAAGCCTCTGCCTATGTAAAGAGTTGAATCCAAACTGGAAACTTCCTTGCATTCCCTCCCTTTCCATAAGGCTGCTGGCTACACCCTCGCAGGGCTCTCGCTGTCAAAAAGCAAGATGGCACAAACAGTGGAGTCTCTCTGGCCAAGCAGCTTGTCTCCTGATGTCTCCTTACGAGGTCAAGGACTGGGTCCCATATCCGCTGCCCTTCCTCTACTGAAAACCCTTCTGTCTCTTCCAACACAGATTGAGTCTCACACTCAGCGTGAGACACCTTGCTCAGCCGCTTTGAAGGATCTTCAAAGGGTTTGGCCCCTGCTTGTTCCTCTTTCTTCTTTTCCAATGCATGATGACTCCACCAGCAACTGGCCGACTCTTTATACGCAGCACAGGCGGAATTCCACACAACACGGCATGCTAACATACGCCATCCGTTTGAGTGGAAAGGCACAGGGGATAACTGCAGATGAATCACTGAATCTGGCCAGGGCGACTTATTTTATATTGTTATTTTTTGTATTTTAACTTTATGTTGTGAGCTGCCCCGAGGCTTCGGCGAATGGGGCGGCATAGAAATGTTTTAATTAATTAATTAATTAATTAATGAGGCCTTTGTCAGAAGTGGAGAGGTTTTCCACAGCTGCGCACTTGCTAATATAATAACAGTCATCAAGCAAAGAAAATCAGCAACTGCGGAGCAAAGATCATATCCCGGCGGTGTGGCCATCCTTTTGATACACAATGTAGGCTGGGTTTGTTGCCAGTATAGCTGTGCCTCCTCCTGGCAGAAGTCCCATGCCTACCTGTGATGCATGCTGAAGGGGTGGAGCATCTCATCACAGGAGACCAAGGGGGCCACCTGCAAACCACCTGCAAACTCGTGTGCCAGGCATGCCATCCTTGGCTGAGCTACGCCTGTGGCCCGTCTCACGTATTTACTTGTAGGCCGCCGTTCCCTGGGAAAGCAGTGTGGACAGTTTTGATTCCGGGAGAGTGCTGTTTAGCTATTGAGTGACTTCTCTTGATTTTGTTCTGCTTACAGTTGAGGTTGACCCAGAACTTGATAAGGAGTCGCAAGATTATCTGGAGGCATTGGAGCAGGTGACCGATGAACTGGAGCAGTGTGTGAATCTGTGCAAGTCGCGTGTCATGATAGTCACCTGCTTTGATATTGGAGTGGTTTGCGACACCCTGGATGGAGCACGGGAAGTGGAAGTTTGAAGGTGATTGCAAAGGGACTTGAGAAGGAGCCAAACTTTCAAAAGATGGAGGGCAATTATGTGTATTAGAAAGCAGAAGCATGAAGACTTAATGTGATGAAGAATGTTAACAAAGCCTGAAACTGTCGAGGAATTAGAATGTTCTAACCATTTATGGTGCCTCAGCAACCTAGGAATTGTACAAAGATCACCCTGGTTTCTAAAAGAGGAAAGCAGAAGAAAAAAATCTATTAAGAACCAACTCTTTTTGAAAAGTGGAAGTGCCTTTACCATTCATTTGTGACTTGTTTTCTTGATTTTGTATTTGTTGCTAGAATTAAAACCAGCAAACCTAAACAGACCGTAAAATGTATTCCTATGAAATATTTTATACTGTATAGTGTAATTTATGACTATATGTAAAAATCAAAAATTGTAGCAAAAGCAATAAGTAAATTATGTTTTCATACCTGAATTTGCCTCCTTCTTTCATGGAAAAGCTGGTTTACGTAGCAGAACAACAAAAATAAAAAATTAAATTGTATTATAATTGCTTTTTCATGGTTTAGGATTTGAAATATTTTTATGAACATTTATCTATTGGAAAGGTGTATTATGAAATTTCAGAATGCTTGGTTTGTATTCAGTTTTTGTACTCTTCCTTTTTCAGATCATGGTGAACATGCTTTTTTCCCATGTTTTCTATACAAATATTAGGGCTGAAATAATTGGTCGATTAATCAGCTTGATTAGTCGATTAAAAATCCTTATGATTAATTAGAAAGGTGCCTCTTGATTAACCGAACAGCAGATTTTTAAAATGTTGTTTAAACGTGTTTTTAATAGGAGTACTTAACAAAACCAGAGATTGGCAGGCGCCATCAAGAAGATGCATTTATGGGTTTTGTCTCTTACCCACACAGGACGGCCTCTTCTAGATGGTGCTTGCTGCAGTCTGTGTGAGTAATTTTACAACAAGAAGTATGCTTTTTTCCAGAACTGTTGTTTCTTTGTATGCAAATGTATACAGTTTCATCCTGTAATTGTTTGATTGATTAATGGGCTAAAATACATACGATTGATGGGATTCCTTTAATCAAGCGATAGTCCTAATTGATATATTAACCACTTAGCTACTTCCATGGGCCACATTCTGCTTACTCCAGAGAGGTCCAGTTGGGGTCACACATTAGTCGACAGACTCCAGAGGAGTTACCAAGAGTAAGCAGCGAGTGTTGGCAACGAAGGACCAACCTTTGGATTGTGATGCACAACTGCCTGTGTTAACATCCCTGCAGCTGCTTCATCCAGTCAAAAAATATTTTTGGAGTCATGTTTTTTGACAATGAAGCAATTAAACTTGACCTGTTTCCCACCTGCTGCTTAAATCGAGCATCCCCCTTACTACTGTTTTGGCTGGAATTTGGTTTTGACATAGGCTGGATGAACATGAGTTGAGGTTCTGCAAATTTTCCTCTGAAGCTCACTGTTGCCACTTGAGTGTGAGCACCTTGATTTTTCCAAGTGTGCATTTTCCCCAACCTAAAATGCTCGCTTTCCTCCATGGGTGAAAGTGTGGATTCTGGAGGGAATTTATGCAAATATGCACCCGTAAACATGAATGCACATTTGGAAAACTGCAGAAATGTCCCAAGAATTGCATTCCAGCTCAAGCTCATATTTGAGATTTAGCCTTTTCATAGCCTTGACGAGAAGAAAAAGCTAAGATGGTTTTTTCATGCAGTTTTGTATGCATAATTGTAACTTGACCCCAACTCAGACAATTGACCTCATTCATTAGTGACCCCCTTTTCTTGTATTTCTTAACCTCCAGGCTGGTACCATAGACCAGCTCCCCGTCCTCCCCCCTCCCCCCAATGCACAAAAGACTTGCGACTGAATAACCCAGAGATGACCACGCTACTTCTTGGTCTGAGCTGCCTCACGGCTGCACAACCTGGGGAGAGAAGCCTTGCTTGAGTTGGGTGTGGCCCACAGGAATTCAAGTTGCTGACCCCTGCCTTAATCTAACCTGAGGAAGTCTGTATACAACACTGTGGCTTTTTTCTCTTTCTTCTGAGTGCAGGAATTAAAATTAATGGACTGGATTCAGACTAGTCATATTTAGAGTAGAACTATCGAAATTGATCTTGTTAGATTCAACAGTGTTGCCCTTAAGTGTGACCAAGTCTGAACCCAATCCTGTGTTTACTACCAAAATCACAAGGAAGTGGGGTAAAAAGTTTTCTTTTCTTGGTAAATATTAAGTTAGGTCCATATTTTTGTATAGTTTTGACAATAAATATAGCATTTGCATTTTATGAACTTTGAAAGACAAATATATCTTTTTACAGTTTTTCTAAGGAAGGCAAACTCTCAGGATTGTTTCTATACATGCTGCATGAATCTTGTGCGTTTTCTTTTTCTTTTTCTAAGAACACCACTTTTCAGGTGGAGACTGTTAGATAAATTGTTGCCAAACAAAATGACTTTTGCAAAGGTTTGATAGTGTATGTAATGATCACATTTCATAAGGAACCATATTTTCTGATCATCTTGCTTTGTATGGGATTGGGTTTTTCCCCCCAAATCCTTTGTATAAATGTACACAGTAATAACTCGCTTCAGCTTTTCCATGTGAATAAAAAGATACATCTATTGTTCTCATGTCTCCTGATTTCATTGAGGGGGGCTGGTTTTGTCCTGTACTAGCAATGTGGAATGGGCCATTCGTTCTTGTCCCCCTTATACTGAGCAGTCTAAATTGTGTGCAGCTCATCCTGGTAGATACCTGTGTATACTCTGAGAATTAGAAGCATCTGAAATGAGGGATTGTGCAGTAGTCAAACTGTTCAACTACAAACCCATCAGGAATTTGGGAACATGCTTTGCAAGAGTGCAAAAAGACGTAGGCAATGGAGGGAAACTGCCCGCCCCTTGTCTTTTGAGGGCTGCATGTCAGCAATGGATGAAGGCAAAGCTGGTAGATTAAATGGTGCACTTGGGGCCCTGTGGTCCTGCTCTCCACCTGCCCCATCATCCAGAGGACATCCTGTAATGGAAAGAGTTGCAAACAGGTTTGGCATTTACCTGGGCCCACTGCTGCTCACAGCATCCTTCTCAGGTTTAGAGGCATGTTATGATGGGATTTGGGTGGACAAATGCAGGCATGGCTACCGTTGTTCACCGCATTTTTTAAAAAATTAATCCTTTGCCTAATCCCTTTTCTATAATGTAATGGTGCTCATTGCCAATGAAATCTGACAGAAGCCACTGCATTTTATCCCTGTCGTTGTGCTGGCACTGTGATTTAAGTGAGTTTATAATGAAGAACTGTACATGACCCTCTTTCAACAGGCAGGGAGGGGAACTTGTTTGGACATGAGGAATGTGGAAGCTGTTGTAAAGATGGTGTCACAACCTGTCTTAAACCAGGTAGGCAGTGGGTTGCCTGGTGATATCCTTGGAAAGAAGGAATGGATTTTGTCAAATCCATTCCTTTTCGTGCATTGTCAAGCATCCTTTGTTCTGACACCTGCTCTTTGACGGAATCACTTTTGTATTAGGGTGCCATTCATTTACAAACACGTAAGTTTATATTAGTGCAAATTAACATTTCCTTGGCACTCATGTACACTTGCACAGTTGAGTATTTGCACATGAATGGTACAACCCCATTGCAGAATCCACAGGTCAGAGTCAAAGAAATCCAAAGCAATTTTAAATCTATTGTGGATTTCTCTAACTTCCACAATTTTTAAATTATTTTAAAAAATTACCAGATTTTCTTACTGGCACCTGGACTTCTGTCCACTGCCATGTTTTCCAGTAATGCTTCTACGCCACACATGGGACCCAAAGACCTTTTTAGGAAATGAAGGTGGCAGCCAGGTTCAGGTGAAAGCCTGACTTCTCTGCAGTGTGCCCCAAGCAGCCAGGGGTTAAGGATGGCTGCACGTCTGTTTGGAACAGGTTATTTGTATTTTGTTACTAGCCAAGCCTCCCATGACAGCCAGTTTTGGGTTTTGCCCAGGATATTTCTTTCAAAGATAACAGGCCCCAAAAGTTGCTTAGTAAAAGGTAAAGGTTTCCCCTTGACATTAAGTCCAGTCATGCCTGACTCTAGGGGGCGGTGCTCATCTCCTTTTCCTGGCCGAGGGAGCCAGTGTTGTCCACAGACAGTCTCTGTGGTCATGTGGCTGGCATGACTAAACACCGAAGTGCACGGAACACTGTTACCTGCCCACCGAAGTGGTACCTTTTTACCTACTTGCATTTGCATGCTTTCGAGCTGCAAGGTTGGCAGGAGCTGGGACGGAGCAACAGGAACTCACCCCGTTGTGCAGATTCGAACCGGCGACCTTTCGATCAACCAGCACAGCAGTTTAAACCACTGCACCACCTGCAGTTCCTTAAAAGTTGCTTACCTTTGATCTACAAATTCACCTAGCTGCACCAGTAGTTTGGCTGAACAATGGACGAGTATAGGTGAGGCCACCCCTTTCCACACCCCTCTTTCTTAATTTTCTGCTCACTTTTCCTGCAATTTGCTTCCCTGTCACTCATTACCCAGCTTACAGGATTGTTGTTAGGATTAAAGGGAGAGGAGGAGGATTATGTGACCCATCTTGGGTCTCTTGCACAAAACAGGTAGGCTATAAATACAACAAAGAAATAAAATTGGCTTTGCCTCTGTGGTTCTCGGAGAATGGAAACTGAAAGGCAACTGCAGCTCATCACTGAAAACTTGCTCCAGGGATCTTCTGTGCTGGGTCAACTTAGCAGCTGTCCAGCAGCTGCTTTAGGGACACGGCCTTCTGAACCATCCATGGAGACAGAGAGATGCAAGGAAGCTGGATGGGGCAAATGGCTGTGCGGCACTCGAAACATGCAAGCGCCTCTCCTGATGGCCGTGTGCGGCTCCAGCAGGCACCATGTGTGTGTGCACCAGCTGTTGCAGAACCCAGCTAGGAGCTGCTTGTGCACTCATGTCCTACTTGGGGAGTTTCTACAGGGTTCTAAACAGAATGCTGGCAAGGTGGACCCTTGGTCTGATCCAGCATGCTTTTCCTTCCCATTTGTGCCAATAAACACTTCGTGCACGTCTTACATAGAGATTGGGGAGATGATAAATCCACATACCATTTTGGGTTCAGTCCTATGAAGTTGCACTTTCTCCATTGCAGGACTTCCCCTCGTGGTTGCCCTAAAAGGATCTTGTGGTTCATCTTGACAGCAGCAACACACTCAAGATCCCTTGTGAATCATAAACAAACCTTTCATGGAATTGGGCCATGGGTTGATCTAATCCAATCTTGTGTACTTTGGTAGTTTCTCCCCAAGATCTCTTGTCTAGCTGCTACATGGGACATTGAAAGCCAGTGTTCTTAAGCATGTAAATGGAAAATTCTAAGGCTGGGGGGTTGTTGTCCTTTCTGGGGAAACTCTGGGGGTGGGGAGGCTTCCAGTAGATCCAAGGCCTCCCAGACCCACTCCTAATGTGCTTTCTTTATTTTATTTGTAAACCACCCAGAGAGCCCTCTGGGCTATTGGGGTGGTATATAAATTCAATCAGTCAATCAATGCAATAAATAAATAAATGAATACATTTAAATCCTAAATGCATTCTTCATTCAATCAATCAGTCAATGCAATAAATGAATTTAAATCCTAAATGCATTCAATCAATCAATCAATCAATCAATGCAATAAATAAATAAATTTTAAATCCTCCTCAGCCAGAAACAAAGGGCTGCTAGCTTGTGCTCAATCAGCAAAATAGAGCACACCCTGCCTGCAGGTTTACACTCTGAAAGGATACAGCAGGCAAGAAAAAGGGAATAGGAGATGGGCTTGGGTGGGGAAGAAAAGATTTTCAGCAGGGCTGCAGATTTTATCTTTATTTCTGGGGCTGGTTAGCCGTCCAAATGGAGCAGGTCCTCACGTTCCTACTCTTGCTCCTGCCTCACTTCCAAGTTCTGTGCAAAGTGGCCTTGAGTGGCGCTAAGAGGACTGCTTTGTTAGTGGCCCCTTGTTTCCGTTTCTTCCTCTCACTTTTCACAGATCCAAATCTCAGCCGTGAGATTACTATCCGGTGTGACATGTTGTCAGAAGCAAAACTGGACAAAGTGGCTTTGAGAGTTTAATTTAGGCAATTTTAATTTCTAATGGATTTCATCTTCTATATTTTATTTGAATTATTCATTATAAATGGTTTAATAATGCATGCCTACTCAGAGCTACTTGGTACATTTTTACTATATATGAGGGGTCTTCAAAAAGTTTCTGCACTTTTATATTTTATACATTTTTTGCTGATGGCATTAAAAAGTTGGTACGACGATGGGAAAAATGCATTGCAAAGGAAGGTGACTATGTAGAAAAGCGATATAATTTGTTTTTGAAAATTTTAATAGAGTTTTAAAAAGTGTGGACACTTTGTGAAGAACTGTCTCTCTCTCACACATACACACACACAATTCCAAGACAGTGCAAACCAGAACAGTGTTGTATAAAGTCCTGGAAAACTATTCTCATCCTAATACATAGACAGGGAAAGCTGGATCCTGGGCTTCTTTTCTGAACTTCGGTGATAATAAAAACTCTTAACAAATTACATTTTATTGATTTATTTATGAGCGTGTATAAGTTGCCTTCTCTGCTAAAAAGCCACCAGGGCCATATAAAACAGTTTAAAACAATAAAACCTCACAAAAGTCAAAACAAGAACATTAAAAATGGTAAAATTTCAACACATTAAGAGAGACACATTTTATAGGCTATTTTAAGATGTGTCTTTGCACCCTCCCTAAAGGCCAAGAAATGGGGGGGAGGGATTGTAATTTTAGAGGGAGCCATTTTCATAAAATGGGGGCAACGCTGGAGAAAGTCATTTCGAATACATCTGCCAAAGGGGCTTCTTGTATGTAATGGTGCCCTATGGATCTTAATACCTGGACAGGTTCATAGCAAAATGGGCAGTTCCTTGGATAGCCAGGTCCTAAGCTGTTTGGGGGGATGCAGGTGGCGCAGTGGTTTAAACCGCCGTGCTGCTGGGCTGGTAGATCGAAAGGTTGCCAGTTCAAATCTGCACAATGGGGTGAGTTCCCGTTGCTCTGTCCCAGCTCCTGCCAACCTTGCAGTTCGAAAGCATGCAAATGCAAGTAGATAAAAAGGTACCATTTGGTGGGCAGGTAACAGCGTTCCGTACACTTCGGTGTTTAGTCATGCCGGCCACATGACCATGGAGACTGTCTGCGGACAAACGCTGGCTCCCTCGGCCAGGAAACGGAGATGAGCACCACCCCCGAGAGTCAGGCATGACTGGACTTAACGTCCAGGGGAAACTTTTACCTTTACTTAAGCTGTTTGGGGTTTTAAAGGTTAACACCAATACCTTGAATTGGGCCTGGGAAGGAAAAGGCAGATCTTTCAGGCCAGGAGTCATACGAACGGACACTTTGCACCAGTTAGCAGCCAAGCTGCCAGTTGAGGTCCTGGACGCTCTGTCGGGGGTGTCCCACATACAGGACAGTGCAGTGGCTGGAACGTGATGTCAGCAAGGCACAGGCAGC